AAGAGAAAAGCTCAACAAGAGAACTTGAAGTTCAATATCAAGCTATATTTCATGGTCGCGTAATCCCTTGGTCCAGGACGCCATATTATCCGCCAATTCCATAATCCCAGATTGCTTGTGTTTCTCGTCATTACCCAAAGAAAACCGGCCACGCAAAACCCTTCCAATCCTTGGTCTAATAGCCCGCGTCGTCAACGGCGTCATAGTCTCGCAGATGTTCCTTGAACCTCGCACCGCGAAACTCCCAAAAATTCGACATCATATCCAAATCTCAGCTTCAGGGGTAAACGGGCTCGGGATACCGTCTCCCCATTCCTCCAGGGCTTCCGCCTCGTTCCTCTGGCGGCACACGCTTGTCCCATCTCTTTCTTTCATTACGTGAGTCCCATCCGGGATAGTCGCGTCGCCGATCTGCATCGGCATGGCTGCTAGTTCGCCGCTCCACGTCCGGTCGTCGAAGATATCTCTCACGGCGTTCGTCCTCCCTTTCCCGTTCTCGCTCTAGCTCTCGCTGTCGACCCCTGTCCCGCTCTCGAATGCGATCTCGGTCTCGATCCCGTTCCCTCTCATCTCGCATCCTCCTTGACCGATGGTACTCTTCATCACTAGACTCGCCCTCAGACGAAGCTCCAGAGAGGTCAGAGTAGCTCCGACTGAGGCGAGTTGGGGGGATCCGGTCTCGGCTTCGTCGGGCGCGTTGTGAGTCGGTGTGGTACGCCGCCCCGGCCCTCGGTGAGTTACGGGTTCGGTCCGACCCCGTCAATCCATTAGGTAGCATGCTGGACACCTTTTCTGATAGTTTTTCTCGCATGCTGCTGGTATTGGCTGTAGATCGTCGCCGAATGGGCTCATCAGGTCTTATATCCGGCCGATGAGGGCGGAACGACTGTGGCGGATTACTGGCAACGGGCGGCGGCGGACCGGATGGGGGAGAGTACCGACGAGATCCTGGCGAAGGCGGGCTTGGGTTATTTCTTCGCTTCATACGGGGCGGAGCCGGTTCATCCTCATCGGTTGATTCGGATGAGTAGTGTCTCGGCTGACTGTGTCGGCGAGGCGGTACGGGCCGCTTCGCATTTGGGTCGAGATAAGCTCCTCCTCCATGTGAATAAGGAGGCTCTGCATGTGGTGGCGGGTTGTTATAATCGGAGAAGCTTCGTCTCCGAGCATGCTCATCAACATTGCTGTCGTACCTCTTGGGTGATGGTCGTCCTCCTCGCCCACTTCCATGTCTGCCCGGAACATGGTTGTACAATGGTCGTTCATACGCGGGCTCAGGTGGTCTTCTCGGCTGCCCTGCAAATGCGTTCCCTGGGACATGAGTATAGGCAAATTTAGGCTCAGGCGTCTCATCTGGCTCAGGGCCAGAACCAGGAGCCTTTCGAGGGACTTCGCGCGTAGATCCTCGAGAAGTTTCCTTTTCCCGAACTTGAGCCTCCTTTCTTAGCTTCTCAGCGCATGACTTGTGCCAGTGGTCCACTTCAGCATCAGCCTGTGCCGGGAAAACCTCCTTTGGAAGATCGGGAGGGAACTCTTGGCCAGTCTCGGGGTGTTTTAGGTGCCAGTTCTTGACAGCAAATTGCAAGAAAGGAACGTGCTCCTCTGGGCCGAGAAGGATTTCGAGGGACTCCCATCGCGAGAAGCCTCTAGGTGTGAGTGCAGGGATCGAAGGTGGCTCGAAATCGTCATCGGTAGGTTGTAGAGTATGTTGGCAGCCGGTGACCTGCCAGATGTAGGAGATGGATTCATGTGGCATTTCGAACAACGCTGTGAGTCGTGTTAGCATAAGCAGCCTTGCGACACTCAATAAAGATAGGCCTACAGTCGTAATCGCCACCAACAGCCTTGTAGAAGGCAGCGAGCTTGCTTGGTGTGAGATGGCATTCTGTTTTGTCGCCAATGTTTAGGATCTATTATGACGTAGTCAGTAATGCAGTCTCGAACATGAGAGCTCCTAGATGAGCTCTCAGACTAGGAAAATGGTGCGCGCATACAATATGTCGGACGATGGCTCTCAGAAGGGCATCTAGTAGCTTGGAAGGACTCTTGTCCTTCTCATACATGTAGACATATTCAATGGGTGGCGGCGGGGGAGTTGATGAGGCCCCCGGCGGGGCATCGGGCTTAGGAGGGGTCGCCATGACGATGATGAAAGGAAGAGGTGAATGCGACCGGCGATGATGAAGAGGACAGCGACGTTGAGGAGCGCGTGTGGTGGTTTAGATGAGACCGTCGCGCGCTCTCATCCAGGGCGAACGTGGATGGCGGGGATCGCAAAGTGAGGCAATCGGCGGTCAGAAGGAGGCGATCGGGAAGGCAACGGCGCCGTAGGCGGGAGCGACTAGGCCGGCGACGAAGATGGCGCATTCAGATAGAGCCGCGGGGGAATATGGAACCTGAACTTTGGAAGAGAAGAAGAAGGAGGGCGGAAGTTTTGTAAGATAGGGCGCTGACTGCAGGCAAATAAATTGGAAATGGATGGATGGATCGCAAGAGAAAGAAGCGTAAGGTAAGGCAGTGAAAGCAAGGTACAAGGGCCGGGTCGTTGGGAGCTGATGACAAGACAAGGCAAGGCTTGTACAAGTCCACAAAGTGTACTCGAAATTCCCAGGCAGCGAGAGAATCTTGGCGGGGGGCATGGAACTAGCTGGGCACCCGAGGGCACTGCTGCACTACTGCACTGGGCAGAGCCTTGCTTGGTCTTGACTTTACGTGGGTCAAAACATGGATTATGGGGGTGAAGTGAGATGGATGGATGGCAGCTCTCCTTTGGTTCTGCTGTGCCTGAAAGAAAGGGTCGGCATCCGAGGCTGTTGAATGGCTGGCTCGGGGCTGACAAAGAGGATAATCGTCTTGATAATCCAGGGCAGCTGACCTCTCTTTGTCTCCCGCTACCTTACCGATATGCTGTGCTGTCCCTCGTTTTGTGACACTCCCCGGTGCCCAAGGGGAAACAGAACGAACAAGGAACAAGGCACCAAGGCTGTGCTTTGCTGCCATTACGGAATCCTCGTCCTCTGCCTCACTCAAAAACTGCCGGGCCTCCGTCGTCTGACACGTGCATCATCGCTGTAGGTCCCCTGCCTGTTCATTGTCTAGGATGGCCCCCGCGGAATGCGTACAACGCGAACGAGAAAGCAAGATAGTTTTCCCATCATGAGTTTGAGTCAAGTGTCATGGGCTGTGTAAGGCATCGGTACGCAACACAAGCCCGAGGACGGCGCTTAGTAGGAGAGCACGAGATAATTCCAGCACTTTAGTATGGGTTACCTCTTGAACTTGTTCAACTCAGCCAAACTCAGCCTCATCTTTGCTGAGCAATTCTGCCCCCCACTACCAGGTTTAGAACGCGCATCTGGCAGATTTGACATGACCTGCCTTGTTTCGTGCATGATGCCTGATCAATCTTGGAATTTTCTCAAAACTTCCACCACGGGAAGGGGATGGAACACCCAGGCGAGGATCACACACAAAAACTCGGTAATCTCGGGTTGTTTAGGCCTGGGTTATCAACTGATGATGAGAAATGGGCATCTCTCAACCTGGATCTTTGGCTCTGATGTCATGGCTCCAGCTTTGAGACAGGGATCACCATGCACGAGGCAGCTTGGTCACTTTCAACTACCCCGGGCTTTGTCTTGGACGTTTTTTCCCGACCGTTGGAAATTTAAAGTCTAGGGTAGGCTGGTCGGCTTTTCCTCCGGCAGATCAGCCCATTGCTAGTCCCAAAGAGGAAACCACTCTCGAAATCTCTCCGGCATTGCTGGCCTCTTTGAAAGATTTCATGAGACAGGCATCACTGCAGTTTGCAAGTCGCGACGTCTTTTGTTGCTCCCCTTCTTTGACTCTCCTTCAGCCGGCTTTCTTTGTTTAATACTTCTAGCTTTTTGCTGGCTCTTCTACTTCGGCCTCGATTTCTTTCTCCCCGAAACTACGCGCAAACTAGCCATCATGGACGCCCTCAAATCAGCCATCCAGCCCATCACGCACAACCTCCCCGAGCCCATCCGCGACCTGGGCATCTCCATCCTCGGTGACACCTGCTACAAGTCCCTCCTCCTCGACGTCAACATTGAGGACGCCGACTGTCTCAAGCTCGCCATTTCCAAGGGCCTCGGCATCGGTATCATTGCCGCCTCGTCCATCGTCAAGGTGCCCCAGATTCTCAAGCTTGTCAACTCAAAGTCTGCCGAGGGCGTTTCGTTCCTGTCCTACCTCCTCGAGACGACATCGTACCTCATCTCTCTCGCCTATAATGTCCGGAACGGCTTCCCCTTCAGCACCTTTGGCGAGACGGCCCTGATCGTCGGCCAGAACGTTATCATCTCGGTTCTGGTGCTCAACTACAGCGGCCGTGCTAGTCTCGCTGCTGTCTTTGTCGCTGCGCTCGCTGGCACGGTCGCCACACTGTTTGCCGAGAACATTGTCGACAGCCAGGTCCTGAGCTATCTCCAGGCTGGTGCTGGTGTCCTGGGTGTTGCGAGCAAGCTGCCCCAGATCCTCACGATCTTCCAGCAGGGTGGCACCGGTCAGCTCAGCGCCTTTGCTGTAAGTTAAACTCCTGTGTTTTCGCGATCGAATTAATGCTAACATTCCATGCGCAGGTCTTCAACTACCTCGCCGGCTCCCTCTCGCGTATCTTCACCACCCTCCAGGAGGTCGACGACAAGCTTATCCTCTACGGCTTCGTGTCCGGCTTCATCCTCAACGCCATCCTCGCTCTCCAGATGATCTTCTACTGGAACGCCCCCTCCGAGAAGGCCAAGGGCAAGCGCAAGGCTGCCCCCGTCAAGGCCAAGCCTGCGGCTGCTCTGTCGGCCTCCTCGACGGCCACCCCCAAGAAGAGCCCTACCACCCGTCGACGTGGTTAGAGGGATCTCTACGTGTGTGGACTTGCGATTGCTTTTCAGACATATTGCTTGTAATGGCTCATATATTTTTAATACAGTCAATTCTGTAATGTGCCTTGTACGTAGAATAATCACATCAAGTATTCAATGGTACGAGGAACTTGACTTAGATCTTGTCATTCTTTATGATGATGACGTGTTCTTGAAATACGAACCGTAATCTAACTATCTACGCTATCTCCCATGGCAACGTTGCCCTGAATGCATCCCTCCCAAATGGTATCCCAACCCTTGCTTGCAATGACAAAACGCCTCCAATTGTGAACGCCCAAATTATGCTATGCCCGCTTGAGTATGTCCGCATTGTAATATCCTCCCTTTGTTCAATCTCAAAATATGGAACCGGTCATGTTCCACCTGTTGTTGCTGGGTGATACTTTGCGACCAGCACATTGCAAACATCGACGTTGCTCGCCGAGGTTGCTGACGGAGCAACCGAAGCAAACATGCTTGCCACATGCACCACAGGTGTGGCCCTCGGTTTCGAATCCATCGACGTCCATCTCATCTCCACTGTTGCCGCCGAGGCAGGCACCGCAATCTTCGCAATCGGATGGTGTAGACTCGGGTTGGATTGTGTGAGATGTCGAGGTGGAAGGGGCGGAAGAGATGTTCCAGAATCGATGCAGCGATTGTTGAGTTGATTCAGAGCGGCTGGTCTCATTCTGAGGCTGAAGTTGATCCGGTGCAGGCATTGCATGTTTTTGGCTCTGGGCCGAGAATAGCATGTTGAGGGTACGTTCTGCCGAGCAGGTCAGCCAATGTCCTGGTGCGAGTAGAATAAATGATGAGCTTACGGTGAACTTCATTCTCGGAAGGTCTGCTATTGCGGAACCGCTTCATCGTGCGGCTGTGAAGGTGAATCGGAGCTGCTGCCATCGCGGCAAAGGGGTTGGTGAGGCCGTTGGTTGCCCGGGGCGGCGAGTCGAACGAGGAGACAGACGATGGTGAGGAGCAGAGCTCAGAGACGGAACGCTTGCGCTTGTGGGCCATGATTGTCGTTGAATGAACCGATACTGTTGAGAATTTTGGAGTGAAAATGGCGTCGAGGCAGAACGATGCAGGGCTCTATGCTGGAAATAAGAGAAGGTTGAATGGTTTAGCCTGGAGCTGAGGTGAGATGATGGGTGGATTTTGAGGAGCCGAGACGAGACGCGGGATCAAGGGAGCTCAGGCCATCGCGCTCTCATCAACGCGTCCAGCCCACCTTCACGCGTTGATGGGGGGCGATGTATCACGTGATCTGGCGATTACAATGGTTGGCGAGTCACAGGCCGCGAATATCTAATGGATCCATTACCAACACCTGCACTGCATGTTTGATGGAATAGGTATCAACATATGGATTTTTATTGAAACTACTACTAGTATTGCAGTGCATGAATGTCATGGTAGTAATGTATACCTACCTGCTCGGGTCGTGACGTGTCTGCCTTGTATTGTTTGGTGGTGGCAAAGATTTCGTTGCGTCTTTGCACTGCAAGTTTAGCGCATAGGTTGTGAAGAGGAGGCCGTTCTAGTCCAGCCAGTAGAAACATCGACCTGCTGCACTACAAGTTTAGTCACCTATCTGTCGGCTCCCACATGAGGGGGGGAGGCTAGGGAGGGGAGGGGGGAGGTTACAGTGGGTCTTAAATGTAAAACAAATTGTGGAACGCGTGAACACCATTTCGAACACCTGAATAGCGGTTGCCCGGCTAGCATCTATATATATGAGTATCGTCTCATACGAGCCCCAATGGTTTCGTTTCCTTGAATAGCAGATAACCTATGTCCTCAAACATCTTGAACCTCGTTTTAAAAATGACGTCCCTCTCCACAGAAGCTATTGTTGCGATTGTTGCCTTACCCATTGGACTGAGCCTTTCTGCGTTAGCCGTTTACATCGCCTATCTTCAACTCCATGTCGCTAGGCCAAACCGTGCCCAGAGTAATGTCGAATCTCTGCCACTTGTGGATTACCCCGAGGCCATGCTTATGGGACCAGTTCAGCCAGGGTGAGTGATACCAGCTACAGGGCCGTCCCCACCTTTTCGCTGCAGTTGATCTTGGTGCCCCGATTGCAACCCCAAGGGCGATGGAGAGCATTGTGCCCCTTTTCCTTTTTGGTTTCACCCTTTCTTTCCTTTTCCCACCAAAGTTAATCTAATAGAACTTCCAGACCGGCCTTCGAAAGCCAGCATCAGGTTCAATTCCAGATGTCGCGCTGGGAACGCAGATTGGTGACCACGCCAGGTTATCTATCACCGGGATCCCAAACAGCATGACCACGATCCTTCCAAGTACAGAAGCCTCGCCGATTTAGAATAGATCCGCCTCATTGGACACATATTCGGGCCATCTCAGGGGGAGGGATAAAGTTGTATACATATGTTCTCTTATAGAAAAGCGTTTCCACTTCTTCACATCATTTACTTTTCCTGGTGATCCCGCGTCAGTTCCGGACATGCGGGGACGCGGTGATCGGTGATCCCAGGCAATGATGCACGGGGCATCGGCCTTGCCCCACAAATAGCTGTGGTTTCGGACGCGGGGCGCCCCGCATAATCCGCCCGAAAGAATCGGTCGCTTAAGTTAACAAGACTAGATACTTGAACCGCGCAAAGGGGGTCAACTGATTCGTCTCAAGGATGATAAATAAATTTGTATAAAGTAGCACGAAATGATGAAAGAGATATCATCACGTTGGTAATACTTTGGGGTTCTCTCATCTATTCACTCAACTTCATTGAGTTCATTTAGGGAGGATATACGGGTGCGTTTATACTGCTGCCTCGGTGCGGGTGTCGGGGTATTGGAACAAAGGCGACCATTTAAAGGCACTGCTATCAGGGCCGCCCTATCCCATTCTTCAGACGAAAGAACAGTGAAAGGCAATATGAGAAAGTGTCGATCTTGTTGACCAGGAGCTTGGTACCTGGACTAAGAATTGGGTGCTAAACCCCGCATTTCTCCAAGTTTGACCAAGAGCTCCCAAGGGCAATTTGGCAGGAATATCGACATCACAGACAAATGGGTTGGATACCTCCGTAAACATCCAATATTCCTATCAACGAGATTCCCAAATAGTTACAAGAACACATTTATAAGCCATATCCAAATAGTGATCCGACATCCAGATACGCCTCACGTGAGGTTGTCAACATTTTCGCTCCGATAAGATGTTGAACGTCTTTGGATTGTTCGGCGTTTCGATCTGGATCGTCGAGGACTGAGTACTTGCAGATTCTCTACGCGCAAGTTGAGCATGACTCTGGACGATGGTCTGGACAGGAGTTTGTCAGCATTCTTTCGGCAGCCATAAAAAGAAGAGAAAAGTGAAGAAGGGAAAACTTACTGAGTAAGAGATGTCCGGAGAGTCTCAAGATCGCCTGTAGCTTCAGTCGGCGCGGGTGTTGGGCGAGAGCGAAGCATTCGGTAGGCGAACCAAGCACTGAGGGAGGAAGCGAGTAAACCCGGGATGGAAAAGACAATTGCAACAATGACTTCGGTTGACAGTTGTGCCATTTGAAAGTTATGAAGAAGATGGAGTAGGGGAGATGAGACAGTGGCCTTTAGTAGCAAAATGCTAAAGCAAAAAGATGAAGCAAAAAGACGAACTCAGCAAGATGGACATACGAGAGTACTGATATTTTGGGACCATGTGGGTGCAGAATCCTTTCCGCCATGCAAAACCAATCAATCGCTTCCTGAAGAATCAGGATATTACCACCTTAATTCCGAGCTCATAGGTGCCCTAAAACTAGCTTTTTGGGAAGGCATGATTTTGACACTTCTGGGAATGCCTTTGTATGACTCTGCCCCAACTAGGGATAACATACATAGAGCGTCTCGGTATACATGTAAGCATAGCCCTGCAGGGAGAAACTGAAAGATAGATGCATCACTCTAGCCATCCTCCTCCCCCGAAATCTTAACCACCAACTTCCCAAGCCCCCCCTTCCCAGCAGCAACCTTCTCACAAGCCTTCCTCACCTCTTCGATATCCCCAAGCTCAACAGCAGTATACACTCCCCTAACCTTGCCCCTGGCCACCAGATCCGCAACAACTTCCATGTCCTCCCTGATGTTCGGGCTTCCAGACACAAACTCGTGCTTAATGCCTGTCCCTCTGAGCTTCCACCAGTATTGCAGCTGCGCGAGATCGAGCAGCCAACACAGCCATGAAGGCAGATTTTCCGGACCGAGCATGGGACGCATGGTTTTGCTTGGGGGAATGCTGGCAATGCTCATGAAGATTCCTGTCTTGGGTTTGAGAAGCGCCGCGCTCTCGTTCCAGGTTGCGAACTGGGTGTTGAACGCAAAGTCAACAGTTCCGCGGCCGGCGAGCGAGACTACGTCTTGTGTCTTGTAGTCGTAGAGCTGGTTGACCATGCCGGGTAGGTATTGCTCCACCAGGGTAATCTTGGACGTCGATACTGTTGAGATAATCTTGTCGGCTCCGAACATATTGCGAGCTACTTGTATCGCGGCAGAGCCAGATGAGCCAAGAGCTGCGGGGATGAACACCGTCTGCCCGGCCAGACTGTCCTTGCCCTGAAGTTCTAGTCCGCGTCTGATGACCTGGAGTGCGGTCACGACAGGGCCTGGGAAAGTCACAGCCTCTTCAAACGACACATGCTTGGGCTTTATGTGCAGGAATCGCTCTTCGGATAGGGCATATTCAGCGGCGAATCCAGGGTGCGGTCTACTAAACATGGGCTTCTCCATGTCGAAGCCGTAGACTTCGTCGCCGACCTTGAGGTTCTTGACTGCAGAACCAACAGCGACAACCACGCCGGCGCCCTCTTGGGAAAGAGTATAAGGATACCTATGATAAGGATGTCAGTTAACGCTAGTCTTCTCTGTTACTTCTGAGGATGTCCTTACTCCACCGAGTACAGAATTCGTAGCATCCCAGACGCGAACTGGGTGTCGCCGGTACTGATTGCAGCAGCGCGCATATGTAAGAGAACCTGCTCAGGCTTCGTAACCTTGGGCGTAGGCCTCTCCATGATCTCAAACCCAGAGGGAGAACACCTCTTGGGCGCAACGAGGGATCGCATAGTTGGTGGTATCTTGGCCATGTTGATGATCTTTTGTATCCGGAAGAGCGATGCGGTCTGCTTCATTCCGATGACTTGTAAGTCTGAGTTGAGCTGTGAAAAAAACGGCGACCACGACCGTCCCTTTATCTGGACAAAGAACCTCATACCGGCGGCGGAGTTGGTGATTTCGGCGGTTTCGGTGGGGCAGTTCGGAGGACCCACCGAAACCGCCGAACGCCTCGCCGGCAGCCCTCCGGCGGTTGGAATAGGGGTGCGGACACGTTTGCGGAGTTTATGTGAGCTTAAGGTAGCTTTCTAGGATACAGGGCGTACAAGTGCGGACTTGGTTTGTCATACCTGCGGAAATCAACGATGAGTGTCGGCTAGCAAGGGGAAATCAGGAGTACGTCTTGTTGAGTTGTGATTAACGTTTCACACACTAAAAGGGTTCGTCTAGTCAAGTTCTAGAAGCCGTGGCTTATCAAGCTTTTGGAATTGTGGCGTCTTCCTCTAGTTTTCATACCGATTAAACGACGGGGAGATTGATTGAGGAATGTCAGAGGCTTCACAATCAGGGAAAGGAGATCTCATCACAGATTGACCCAGTGGGCTGCTTTTGTATTACCCCGACCAGACATCCTTCTGGCTCAACTCCTATCATACATTTTTGCCCATTTCAAATCCCATACAGCTTGCAACACATCCCACAGAACCGGTGTCCACTGCATATTACCCATGACACAGCACCGACCAAGAAATTAGCCATATGCTTTAAAGCGAGTGAAACATGTTTGGATCTGGCAGAGTTAGTAAAGAACCGAGAGTCTCAATAGAACATACCCACACTTTCGGATGCCCGTTTCGACAAACCGCCAAAGGCTGAAAGCTCCCTACGCAGATGACATGCCATGCTGCACTCTCATTGCCGTCTGCGGTGTTGGTGCAGAGTTCTGTCGAAAGACAAACAAATTGTTCCCATGAACTCCTTGCGCTGCTTGATCAAAATAGTCGTGACTCATAATGATGGGAGAGTCCCACGATGGACATCAATCCCCGTCTTCCCCGCGACTGGATTAAGTTGGCTTTTCGGCGCCCGATGTGGTTCATCATACTCAATACCAAAAGCCTCGGCGCCGCTGATGGTAGGTGTGCCAGCGAGAGTAACTCGACTCATCTACATCACCCAAGTTAGTCAAAATAGACAAGCAATTTTCGATTGACCAGCACAAACCTCTGACTCGGCTGATACCGAGCTGATCACCCACGTTGATGTATCCCTCCTCAATGTCGCCCTTGTCCTTCCGCACATTCTTCACGGCACCCTCGTCACCCTTCCAGTCGCTGCGGCACATCGGACAAGTGACATTGCCGCTGGCTCCCTTGGTACGTGCCCACATCTGGAAGCACTCCTGGTGGATGTTCTGACCACATGCCGCCTTGCACCAGACGATGGATCCAGGGTCATCGGCCTCCAGCTCACAGTAGCAGATAGGACAGTCACCTTCGATAGGCTTGCGCTTGTCAGACTGACCACCCGAAGGTGCCGAGATGGGAGGCGCAGCAGCGAAGATGGTCTGGAGCTCAGTGCTGAGAAGTCCAAGTTGGTAGACAAGGTCAAATGGGGCATTCAGAACCTTCTTCATGACCTGCAATGAGATGGTCAGCGAAATTTCCGCGCAATGGCAGACGCCAACTCACATAGAGGATATGCTTGCATTGGTTGCCCTTCTCGTAGTGGGGACAAGTGCAGCTGGGTCGCTTCCCAATGTGGACATTGTAAATGTTGCCAGTAGACCCCGTCATCTCAATATCTTCCTCGGGACAATCATGAGTACCGCGTCTAGTTCGGTTCAAGACGTAAAATCGCTGAGACAGAGCGCGTCCGTAAACATCATGAAACGATTGCGGCGGCTTGGGTCTGAATCTGCGCGCTCGCTTTTCCTCATGCTCCTTCTTTTTCTTCTTTGGCTGTTCCTGTTGCATCATTAAGAAGTGTTCCAGGTCAAGACCGTCTGAATTGTCCGCCTTGCGCTTCTTCGAGGGCGTGTATTCAGGCTCATCAGTCAGGTCGACTGGATTGTCTGGGGTTTGACCCGCCCACGCGTTCTTGGCTGGGGTGCGTGTAGCTGGTTTCTGAGGTGTTACAAAGCTTCCACCAGCATTGAAATTCTGGCCTCTGGCCGATTGTCTCGTAGATGATCCCATTGTGAAAGATCTCAAAAGCTCCAGGCAATTGATGATTGATGTGAGGGTTGACAGGGGAAAACGAAGCTTCAATTGATTCATCCAGGGTAAGGCCGCCACATTCGATAAATGGCGTCACAGAAACGGTAGAAGCAAAGTCACGTGCACCTTGCGGTGCCGTTTCACGCATCACCGTTATGGCTAGGGACTCGAATAATTAGCGTGTTACAAGTTGTGAGGCAGTGCAATCATGGGCATTTAGATCACTCCTCACATCCAATATGACCTCACATCAGCTATAAATCACCAAGATCTGGACCCACACGGTGACCGGGCTGGCACAGAGCACCAACCCGCGCGGACTTTGGAACTGAGCAGACTACGCCTTTACTTTGGCCCCAGATATCTCTTTAGCAACCTTGGTTATCACTGAACTTCGTCCACAGTTCGAGAACCCCAATGCAAATAGCTTCAAGGCGCTGAACGAACAACATGTCTGGGACTACCTCCATCAGGCGATCGAGGTCGCTGAGGCTCGCGGTTTTGCTAGTCTGGTAGGAAACCCCATCATTGTCGAGGCAATAGACGCCGATGGAACCGATCAACCACGGGCCACACGGCGCGGCCACAGACCAGAAGAATTGGTGCTGGAGTCACCACGGTATCGGTGCCAGCTGTGCCTTTTGCTGAGCCGTACCCAAAACGGCAGCACCCAATGACCACGGTGGTCACCATAACGGAGGAAACCAGACATGCCCACTGGCTAGACGAGATACCCAAGCGAAGATGCGCTGGAAAGACAGCCTACACGGCCATCATCGAAAAGGAAGTCACAAAGGAGACAGTTCCTCTTATTAGAGAACGCCGGCGAGAAAATATCTTCAACTGGCTCACTCGCGAAAGCCCAAAGTCCAAGGCGCTTCGGCTGTTAGATGCGCCCTTTGCGGACAGCATCGAGAGCCAAACAACAATCGATGCAGGGTTTGTTGAGGAGCCCGACATGATCAGACAGGCCCTTCGGGAGATTGAAGGCATAGCCTTCCAGCTAAAGAAGAAAAGCCCGCACGAAGCACTACGCCTAAAGGCACTGACAGACAAGCTTTTTGCGTGCCGGGATTATCAGCTGGACAACGAAACAGACGTCGCCGGTGAGATACGCAAAGCTTTCAATGGATACTACGAACCGAAAGTCGATGCAGTCACGTTGACGCTCGAAATGGCGAACGCCCAAGACAAAAAACCGGCGACTAGCCGAGCTCAAACGAATCCTCTTGAGGACGGGGAGGACGACAAAAAGTCAGGACGGCAGAAAGAGGAACTTTACCTAATAATGGGCAAACCGGGCGATTAAATTAGAAAATAATCATATTGTTGTTTTATAATAATGTGAAGTTCTTTTCATAGTTTTCTCATATTCTTTAGGTAAGAATCTTCATTGTTGACAAAGACCGCTGAATACCTAGATATGCCACCACTAACACGACAGAGACATGGGCTGCAAGCAGGTTCCAAGGTGGAATCACGGACTGGCACAGATCGCTATTGTGGGACAAATGTATAAGTCAACTGAATGAAAATGCGCCATGGCATTGATTTGTTCCTATCTTCTTCAACTACTCATCCTTCTCTTTTGACTGGCCTCATATCGCTCATGATAGCCGAAAGGTAAACCTATCCAAACGCCCCAGAGCGTGGGATACATCCCATCCCCGCTCACCGTAGGGTACAGATTCATATATATGCCACCCGCCTTGATACGCCCCTTGTAAATAGATGATATAAAAAAAGGTAACAAAGGAAATGGAAGTCCATGTTGTAGTAAGTACAGGCCGTGCCATCTAGTGACAGGCCGGATTGGTAGAATGGTTCAACGCCGAGTCTATGCTATGGCTTGACAAAGATGTATTAGACATGAAGGGAATTAGGTTGTGGCCGTAACGAGTCGTCGAAGTGAGAGTATCATGGAGGTCGTGTGGGTTTAGAGCCGTGGTACTATCATCGAGGTCGTCGGATAGATGTCGTGGCAAGCCACGAGGTGGGTATCACAGCTCCGTCGAGGGGCGGTGTAGCTGACTTGACTGCGTCGTGATCCTGATCTTGATCGAAGTGGTCGGTTGGTGGGTAGGGTATATGGAGCAGCCTCGAACACAAAGCCGAGCAGGTCGCACAACAAAAGCGCGCATCCTGCTCAAGGCAAAGGTCTTCGGTGGCTGGGATCTCGGGGTTGCTGATAGCGGTGGTTGCGAGATTGTTGTTGTTGGGCAGCCACCCACTCCGTGGATCCCGACTGAATTCCAGGTTGCTCTGCAGGCAACTTGGTATCATTTCCAGACGCACCGCCTGGAGATCCAGGAACCAGATCTGTCACAGCTTGGGCAATCGAAGCCACAACATAGCCCCGCATTTGGCGGTCCTCTCGGCTATCCTCCTTCTCCAAGCGAAATCGTTCATCCTTGCTCATGTTGGCTCGTCGGATGTTCTTGATCTCCTGCATAATGTAGAGCAGGACCTCTTCGGGGCATCGGTTGCGCTCGGTGGCGTGCTCGTTCTTGCGCACATATCGTCGGGTAACATCAGTAGCACCGTCAATGGAGAATGCAATGCAGTAGGACATCTTCTTGCCCCATCCCTCAGCATAGAGACGAGGGTTGTCCCAGGCTTCTTCGCAGGCATCCACATGCACCCATCGCTTCTGGTGATCCGAATAAACTTCGGTCCAGACATGGTCCTCGGCGTTCCAGACCCAGCGTACACGACCACCAACAGCTCGGCAAAGCATGCTGAAGCAGTTGGCCCATTCACCAACGCGGCCTCGTCGGGTCTGGAGTAATCGCCAAACGTCGCCATATCGGGGGAAGCGTTCATAAGCTCCACAGTTGTGTGCAGAGCATCGGTACAATTCCACTCGAAGAGCACCGCAGGCACTCTCTTCAGGTGTAGGGGCAGTCATGCCCTGGGCAATAGTAGGGGATAAGCAGACAGGGCACGGTGGGTTGTTGACCCATGTGAAGAATGATCGCTTAAACCACCTGTCGGTTGTGTTAGTTAACATTGCCCAGTATCGGATTACAGAACCACGACATACCTCAATAGTGCCCTGATAACGCAGTCTTGGTAACCCCATTCAGGTTGCCGTCCGTCTCCCATACTCTCAGCCTGAGCTTGGAGAACTTGTGTCTCCTCCTCAGCCTCGCCATAGATACGATCCAATGGAATGGTCTGGAGAGCCTCGTCCAACAAACCGGGGTTTTCGTACTTTGTTGGTGTTAATGATAGGCTGATGAGGAGGTTTCTGAATTTCTGGGAGTCACGGTCGCTGGCATCGGGAGGAGTTGGGATCTTGGGGAGATGTCGGAGGGCGGAGTAAGAGGGAGGAGTAGGACCGTTGGATGTCGAGGGTCGGCTGCTGCCAGCAGGAGTAGGACTTCGCAAATTGGCGCTCGAGGCTCGTTCGCCGAGGCTTGGAGATCCGTGTCGGGAAGAGGAACGGAGGTCATTCATACGCTTGTCGCGAAGGAGACCCTCGAACTTGACCCGAAGGTCCCGCGCCCACTCCTCGCCGTAGCCATCGCCGCCAGGCGTGCCTTGGCGGTCCATGATGGACAATAGTGTTGTTAAATTGGTTGGAAGATAATTCGATGTGGTTGTCGGAGAATAATGGGCAATAAGTGTCTATGGTGGATTGCCCAGATGAGTGGCTGGGTGGTGGTCAGGTGGCTCGGTCGCTGATATTTACAGACCGAGGCGTCTTGATCAGCAGCGAAATGTCGTCGTGGTCGTGGTCGTGTTCGTGGGTTGTCGTCGTCAGCAGTATATGCGTGTTCGTAGACCCGATCGCCACGGGACACGCGGAGGCCTAGACAGTTGGCTATCCTTCAGAGTCAACTGCTAGCGTCGTCGATTGTCGCCTAGGCAGGTGTCGCTCGCTGAACGGGTGATGACTAAGGGTCTTCCTGATCGATGTTCCTGTCGTGATGATGGTCGTCGACTTGTTCGTGGTTTGCGTGAGCTTGTGTCGCTTCGTCGTCGCCGTGTATGGTAAAAAGGAGAGGAGTTGGCGAGCTCGCGGATGGCGAATGCGGATGTGGATGACCAGGCAAGAGACGGGCACAGAGGCAGAGAGGGCAGAAGAGGCAGGAGGAGGCGGCGATGAGAATCGAGGGTGGACCAGGGGAATAAAGGGACGGGGTGTCTCGGGAGGGTGTGCGTCTGGTTCGCTGTTGCCCACTCCGGGTCAGGCCTACGATGGCAGTTTACGCGTCAGCAGTGAGCGCCACGGCCAATCAGACCCGTAATTGGTGGTCGATGTGGGGGCCGCTGGGCGCAGGTGCAAGTACCGGTACAGCCGCTTCGTACTCTTTTTTTCTGGGCTTGCACCAGACTCAGCTGTCGCGTTCAATGTGAGGAATTGCTCTGCTCAGTGGAGGTTCAAGGGGCATATTCGTAGATGGATGGTATTTGCAGGCTCCGATCGTTATTTAATATCACGGGACTACGAATGCCGATGCCGCGTCCTTCGCATTCGTTACGTCGCTGAGAAGACGTAGACCTCTGTGAAGGAAATGGACCTTCTGGGGAATATTCCTTCCAGCGACATGGGTCAAGTTAAAGTCCGCGCAAGACCATTCATCATCAAGAGGCGAACTGGAGAGGGCCAATCTCAGGTGCCCGCTTCTGGGGATGGCAGCCCAGCAGCCCAGGCACTGGAGGCATCAGAGGTACGTAGACTGTGCGTACGCAACCTGGGCTTGATGATTTGAGGAGAGCGAGACCGAGTGGCGTCGTGCTTCAGTCCTCGTCATCAGCGAATTTTACAGAGTCTCATCAGGCGTCAGCTCTTGTCTTTGATGGCGAAATGAGCAGCAGATGTGCAATTGGAAAAAGATGGGAATGTCTGTACAAAACGGAAAAGAACTACAATCGCTATCTGTGGCAATGAGAGCCATCCCCCGAGCTTGACTCAACTCAGCAGTTGATGAGCGCGATGAGAAACAGACTGCGCGTCCACTGCAATGGATCTGAAGCTGCTGTCACTTGAGCAGAAAACTGGAGTAAGGTGATTTCGATGTCTCCCGCTGGCCCTGTCTGGCTGGAGACCGCTAGAGACTGCCAGAAAACCCGCTGGAGTCGGCCGCTATGCTTCTGCAAGTCACTCGACCCTGGTACCAGAGACAGGTACCGGTACCTGGCCGGGTACGTGCCCCTCGTTGTGGTGGGCGATGACGAGGCAGTGGAAGAAGCCAACGAAAGGACGGAGCGGACCAAAAGCCCATCGTGGCACAGCTGAGGCCAAGCCACTCTGCCCTGCAATCCTTTTTCGCAGAAACGACCGACGGTCTCTCCGCACCGCGCGCACTGCCGCCTCAACAAGCCCCCTGAGCCAATTCCGTGGATACATTACAGTTGGATATGAGAGCTGAGATTTGAAGAGACATGTGCGCATCTGGTTGCGTCTCGCGCTTATTGTTTCACTGACGCAGGTCCCTCTTCTTCCAGATTTCCGAAAGCTACGTTCCCTTCTCCAGATGCTCCAGCCACGACGACGGTGTTCCTGTGGCGGTGCGTTATTTCCAGTTCCACTTGACCCTGGCCCACTTTAGTTTTGACTCGAGGCCTCAGCGTCCCGTCGATAACGTGGAGAGCGACGCGGCCTCTTGACCCTCGCAATTCTACTCTACGTATTCTGATGGCGACGTTTTGGATCCTGTTTAACTCTCCGTTTCTCCCGCAAACGCGGATTCAGAGATTCAACGTCGTCCAGCTGACACGGAGCTCCGACTGAGGCCTTCACCTACCATCCTTATTCCTGCTCGACCAGGCTGTCACTTCACCTCCAGGGCTGTCTGGTTGTGGCTATTTACAGCGCGCCAATGAACCCACGTCACATCACATCTGCTGGGTAGCAAACAACTCCACAGCGATCTGCAACCTCCATCTTGTCTCAATCTAATTGCTGTCTACCTGAGGAAGCCCCCGCGGCAGCGCGACCGGTCACCCAGGGCCCTCGATTTGACAGCCGCGCACCCTCAAGCGATGCTCTTCTAGACCATATTCTTACCACAAGTGGCTGGGCAGATATGGCAAAGAAGCTTAACCAGCTTGGCGCGTGCATCCGCGTGGCCCTGTCTTTGCCCCTGGGAAGCGCGGCCACATCCAATCCCGAGATACGATTACGCAGACCTCACCTTTTTTCTCTGGTTCGGTATCGGTTTTCTGGCCCCCTCGCCCTGTTGCTTACCCGACCTGGCAACGTTATGGTAATCCCTTGCGACTAACACTCACCCTGCATCCCTAGACCATCTTGGCAGCGGGAACGTTCAAAAGTGCAGGCGTCGTTTCTCCATAACGGAGCTCCAGGGGTCGAATCGGACCCGAATTCATCACTCCGTTTTCCCAACGACCACCGCCGATCTGCTGTCCGTTTACGTTTCCGCTCTGCGATGAGGGTCCCCACCAAGGCTCAGGCAACGCGTCCAATCGCTCATCGACCTCAGAGACTAGTCCTGCATCGCCCTCCAATCAGCCCCGGCTGTGGCTCGTTCCCTTCTCTCTGCGTCGACGACCGGGGTGTCTCGTGAGACACTGCCAGAGGCCGCGTCATCTGCTTGCTTCATGACAATTGGCTTGCGTACACGCGAATATCAAAAGGTGAGAAAGGACTTTGCGCCGCACTCGATCTCTTTCAATTGCCACCCCATGGTTCAGTTCAAAACAGCTTGCAAGGGAATGATTTTCAAGTCGATCGAGTCCTTAATAATCGGCCTTTTCACCGTGTCTCATTAATACGGACCTTGCCAAGAACTCCAAAGTCCAAACGTCGGTTGAAGAAGCCGACGACTACCTTAGATCAGACTGCCAGTGCAGCCCCTTGTTGCAGGCCCGTACAGCCTTACGTATGCTTCGGGCCGCTATTTCAGATGAATATTCACTTTACAGTGTAGTCCTTGTGGGTTAATTAGGTTTCCCTGACCCAACTATCTCTGGCCATGTCCGCCCCAAAGTCCAAGTTTGATGGACACTCGCGCATTCAAGGCAAGAGAATGGATATCTGCCTTCGAGAAAGACTGACGGGCAATTCTGCCACCTCTAGGCTTATTCCGAGGCGGATCTTTTCTGCCTATGGATGACTGACGTGGAGTGGCTATCGATCCTCAAGATCCCGTCTTGTCACTTACAGCGCCACAACAATGCCTCTTACCCTATCCCCTCGTGATCAAAACTGCATACACGCTCTTGAAAGCAAAAACTACGTTGCTCAAGCTGCCGTGGTTCCTACTTGGCCTCTCTTAGATCAAGTAGGACGTTGTTGGTCTCATTACAACATTGTGGCACACCAACCCCCAATCCCCCGTCACCCCATCAGACCGCCCACTTACACACATATGGGAAGTTGCCCGTCGATGATGTTGGTCTACATGAAGCCATCTCTGCAGTAAGACCAATCTGGCCAGGGCCTAGAAGGCTCCTTTGATGGCCTGGGGACGCGCGTTCTCGGCGGCCCCTGCACCTGTCAATATATCTCTGCGGGTTCTGCGAGCTACACACGGCTGCTCGCGGCAATTGATAGAGGGCCCCGGGTATTTTAGTTTGGTCGGTATTGCTCTGGTGACGCATGGTTAGGCGAGGTTTTTCGGGATGTGGTGTCCTGTCACGAAGTGAAGGTTTAGGCTCTTCCTTCATCTTGGGCTTCGTACGTGATGCTACCATGTGAATGGCAAGACGGGCCGGGAATGGATCCTAGACAAAGACCTCATTACGGATAGGCCAATGGGAGCTAACTGTGACGGGAGCCATACCCGAGAAACAAGGCTGGCGTGGAGGTGAGGGCATTCAAGTGGTCACGGTACCCCCATCAAGGGCATACGTATGCTTGCGTTCAGAAGCATCATCCATCCTGTACCAAGAAACCTGATTCAAATAAGCCGTACGTACATTGGCTTTGTGTAGCCGTACAGAAAAAACCATCCAAGAAATCTACAAATCAGAAACTCTCCTTGACCCCTGATATCCATTCATCCTATGTATCCGCTCCATCTCTCGGGCCCCCCATACGTGACTCGAAAAAATCTGTACAGGACCCCCTTTCACATAAAATTTACACACACCACATGCCACCATCCAAAAAAGAGAGTATTGAATTACCTCCGCCACTGCTCAACGCTAAAGTAGCTCTCGGGCATTTCCACGTCCCACGTCGGTCTCTCCACCAGGGCGACCTCGAGGGGCTGGTCCGCCCGGCTTAGGGGCACAACACCAAAGATGGGCCGGTACTTGTATGTCATCCACCAGCTCTTGCGCTCACCGCCAGTCTCTGCGACCTCGAGGCCGTTGTTGCTCTCCTCGTGACGGTTCCGCAGCTGGGCGAGTTCACCGTCGGCCTGGTCCATCTCGTCGTCGCTGTCGACGTCCTCGGCTCGTGGGGCGTCGTCCATATCGATGTCCTCCCACTGCCCGGCCGTGTGCTTGCGAACCTGCGAGGGCACGAGAGCTCCTTGCTCCATCTTGCCTCCGGCACCAGTAGTAGGACCGGTTCTCTTCCGCTTGAGACCTTGCTTGCCTGGGGTGGCCGTGGGATCGCTGACCTCACTCTCCACTGT